GGAGACAGCTTCTACAGAAATCACCTGTCTCTCCCCAGAGGCTGTCAAAGCTGTTGATCTGTGCTCTCTCCACCTCCTCTTCATCTTTTTCTGGAAGATCGAGCAGGTAGGAGACGATCTGAAACAAAATGATGTGTCAGATCATGAACTGGAATGTGTTATACAGGAACTGCTGACACCACCACACGAGCTGCTTGTAATACACAGAGGAAAGGGAACAGTCTCTGCCTGGCACCTTGAGATCAAGGAAATACTCTTTCTGAGATTAATCACTGAACTTGCTGCCCCGTACAAGCAAAAAAACCTTACCAAGTGTCCGGATATGATGGCAATGATGAGAATTGGTAGGGTCAGCTCCCTGAGACTGTGTCTGATCTGTTGGAGACAACCTGGTGTGTGCAGTGAGCACCTCCTGGAGGAGGTGAGGCTGAGAGGAGGTATTTGGTAGGAAAGAAACTCATTCTTAAGGGAAGGAGAAGGAACTGTGGGTCACTGGGGCTCTTTGGAGTACTAATGGCAGTGCTGGGCTTGGCACTGGCTCAACGACCTTAATGGTCTCTTCCAACCTAAACTATTCTATATATAATTTTCCCCATCATAAATCTTTGTCAGGATGGCAGGAGGAAGCTCTCTGGCTCTTCTCTCCCTCGACACACAATCCAAAGTTACATTTCTCACACTCCCCATCCGTGCTGGAGGAGCGGCGCAGGCAACGCGTGTCCATCCACCTTAAAAGTTTACTCCAAAAGTTTATTCTGACTACTGAAAGGCTTGTTATCCTTCCTCTCCTGGATGCCTGCCCAGACCACAGGGCTTGCCAAGGGATCTGTGAACACTGGGATGCCACAGGGAGGAAAAGCAGGACGGAACCACTCCGGACTCCACCTGCAGAGGTTCCCTGGTGAGTGGGCAAGAAAAGGCCAAGCCCTGGTGTCTCCCTGTGCAGAGGCAGAGCAGGCCCTACCTCGGTGTAGCCCATGCTGGCAGCAGCAATCAGCGCCTGCTGGATGGCGTGGCTCTTCTTGAACACTCCCTGCTGCTGGCCAGCCATGCTCCAGTCGCACTGGATCAGGAACTTCACCACCTCCAAGTGTCCCCTGAGAGCAGCATGCACCAGGGCACACTGCCCGTTTTTGTCCAAATGATCCACCTGGAAAAGAGATGAAACAATCCCATTAAACAAAATCATGAGCAACGCATCTTTGCTTCTTCAGAGTTTCCGACCCCTGTTTCAAAATAATGCCACATGTGCAAAATGTGCATTTTTCTGGTAAACTGTCACTTCCGTGGCCAGAAAACAAACACTTCCAAAACAATGTCCCAGGCCCTGGCATTATCTTGGCCACAAATGTTTGGTTTGGGGAAAATATAATTACTTTTCTTTTAGGTTTCTCCTGTTTTCTTCAAAAACTCAAAAGATTACAAAAGTATTTTTTCTGTTGTGTTCTGATGTCCAGCATTCAAATTTTCTTGTGCATGGAAATGCTATAACCTGGCCCTGGACACTTCTGGGGATCCAGGGGCAGCCACAGCTTCTCTGGGAACCTGTGCCAGGGCCTGACGCTAAATTACAGTTACATAATACATATGAGAAATATTTAATATATTATAACACATTCACATCAATAATATATCAATATTTCCCTTTTTTCAACTCCTTCAGTAATCAGTATTGCAATTTTCTGCCAATATCTCAGTCTTCAAACTACACCAAACTGTGTTTTGGAGTATTTCTCAGTACTGTTAGGGATATTCAAGGAAAACTACTAGTGGCAGGACTTATGTCGCTAAACTCTCTGAAAATATCCAATAAAAGCAAAATTCTTTTTTTCCTTCATACCATCCGTACATTATTACAGACAACGCAAACCAGCAAGATTTAAACAGTCCCTCAGTCATCCTGACATCCATACCAAAACTACATAAACCCATATTTTGCCTTTTGAACTAAAATTAAAGATATAGGGAAACCACAAATTGTTTCCAGGAGGCTCTGCTTCAAAATTCAGCATAATTTTCTTCTTCAACAAAGCATTTTGACTTGAGTCATAATATACAATTAAAACTCCACTCATCACAAAGCTAAACAAAGGGGATTTTTCTAGGACAAGCCTGATGAAAATTTTAGGAGAATGTGTCTCAGGGAGATATTTAAAGAATGTTTTGTGCTGGAAAAGCAGCGTTGCCACTTTAACCTTGTTAAAGTTCAAGGATTTCTCCAGAACATCCTTATGCAGGTCACCAGTGCAGCGTCACCAGGCAGCTCCTAGCCCAGACCTGAATTCCAGACACCAATTACCGACTCTCAGGAGTCGCTGTCGGTGTGGGACTTTCAAACCCACTATATTTCAGCAGAAAAAAGAACAAAACTAAAAGCAGCCTCCTGGTTTCCTCTGCTGGAGGATGCTGCTCCATGTCCTGCCTGCAGCTCTGTATTTGTTTAGGTTTAGAGCAAGTTTGGGGAAGAATCTCTCCAAAGGAGCTTTGGTGGGAAAAGCAGATTTAATCGGCTCTTCTTCTTTTAACTGGTTTGGGAGGAAAGAAAAATATTTTTTTGGAGAAAGGTGGAAAAAAAACCCTGTTTATTAAACAATAAGACCAAAACAGTATCAAAACAATGAGACTCTTTGCTACTCTAAAAGAGATGACAAACTGAGAAAACTCCGGGTTCAAGCAGCAGCTCACTCAGTCTCTGATCAGTCTCTCAGTGCTGGAATTGTCGCAGGCCAGGGCCGGCCCGGTGGGCCACAGCTGCAGCTGC